AATGATATAATTTTTTTTTGTTTTAGTATTTTGAAGTTGACCAATTGTTACTATAAGCAATTAATGATTATAGATGAGTAACGATCTAGTGGACAAATTCCTTGTGAAAAAAGTAAAATCATATGTAAACTCAATAAGTTGGTTTTGGCCTAACTCGGTCAAAAGTTTCACCCTTTTTTTTACTATTTAAAAAAATTCGACAAGTCGGATCGATCTATATAAAGTCGCGATAAGCGCCAAGTCGGTCAATCACTTAACCCAAGTATAATTAAATGGATCACGATAAGTCGGTCTCACGTGATATTTCATTATGTCATCATCACTATTTTAGTAATGGGTGATTTAATAATTTTTTTATTCGTAATATTTCATCATTAGCAAAATGATTATTTGTAATAAAATATCTGATGTAAAAAAACCATCATTTATAGGGAAGAAAGCATTCTCACTTGTGAACTACATTCATATTTTATACCTCCATCAGTTATAATGCATAATCATACATCCATTTTTTCTTGTCAAGTAACTTTAAAAAGAGAACTTTTTACGCTTTTAATCATTTGATGATTTATCATGAATAATGCATTAATATTTTATTATCTCAGCGGTTATATCATCAAGAATTTAGAGAACATTCTTGTCTAATCATGAACAATACATCTGTATTTATTTATCTCATTTTTATATCGTCACTTATATCATTGATTATCTAATGTGAAGAAATACATTTGTATTCCTATTAAATTTTATTATGTTCAGTAAAAAGATTGATTTCGCAACCTTCTAATGTTTTGAGATAAAAAGATAAATAAATAAAAATTTTAAAAAATTTTAAATTTAAAAAATCACGTGAAATTCGATAAGTCGGTCACAGGGGTCCGCTCCGACATGACCGACTTATCGAGTTTACATATTAATATTAGCCAACTATACTAGAGAATTAATTATATACAGGCCGATAAAATTATTCTCAAAAAAAAATAAATATAATTTATTGCTTATTATATTATTAAATTATTTGTAATTATTAATAATGGTAATGTGTGTCTATATAAAAAATTTGTGTCTAGTTACTAGAATCAGATTCAGAATCTCTTAATAAAGGAACTTTTTCTTGATTTGAATCTGGTGATTTATTATTTTTCAAAAATCTGGATCTTCTTTTCCTTGGTGACGATAATATTTCTTTCTTTTCATCAGATGCTATAATGTGAACATAAGGTAAAATATTGAGGACCCATTTTACGCAAATATCTTGTTCTAAAGTCTTTGACCTATCATAGGCCACCAACACACACATTACGTAACTTCCGTAAGAAGCTGTTAAGTGCCACCAGGCGTGTAATTGGGGATTTGGTAAACTAAATGGTAATTGGTTCATCCAACTACAAAAATGCATGTCCACATTCCATCCGATGTAACCAATTAAAAATACTAAACTGCCCGTTATCCATAATGTTTTGATGTGTTTTGTAGAATAAAGTTTAGGACGAACCATTAGAAGACTAATGTAGATGTAAAAAAACCCCGCCATTATTGCAAATGACACTATAAAGGGATTATAACGAGTGAGAAAAGATCAAAATTTTTTTAAAAAAAAAAATTTTTTTGGCGACGATTACCTTGAAACACAAAAACTTCAATTAATTGCATTTTTTTATCATGATGATATCTCCCAGAAAATATCATGATGGAAGTGATTAATAAACACCAGGTTGCCAAGGCGATCGGAAACCATCTACCAAATCTTCTTGTTTTCTTATTCTCAATGATCGAGTAACATAATGTCGTTACACAAAACATCATCGGCACTTCGTCAAATAGTTGTAATGAGAATAATAAAGTACCATGAAACAATATTGATCCTATACCCACTACTATAATTCTATTGTTGTTGTAATATTAAGTAAGTTAACATTTTCGAAAAAAAGAAAATTAAAAATTTACAAAAGAAACTTACGTAGCAAAACATATTAAAAATCTTGTTTCAAATCCTTTCGAGTGCATATACATACCAAATATTCCTACACATACCATACAAAATGATGATAATGTGTTGAAAAATTCGGCAATATAATGCGTTAAAGAATAATTATCTTCACACCAATCTTTTTATATTAACAATTATATTTGGATCAAAATAATAATAATATAATCTTAGTATTTTTTGCAAAATAGAATTTATAGATATAAAAATTACATACCAACTATGTTGTTCAGTATTGAAATATTAAAAAAATGTTAATTATTAGATCTTTTTAAAAAAGAAATTTTATAAAAAAATGATTTTAAATACTTGTGGCAGTTTTTTCTCCCCAATATCCTTGTATATCGTTGTGTTCTAACATGGTTAATATAACACGTGGTGGCAGTTAATATTGGTGTATATAACGAATGAATTGCTAGGCGTTAAGTGAATGTGAATCAATTAACAATGTTAATTGATTTTTAAAAAAATTATTTCAAAAAAAAATATCGTCAAAAGAGAAAAAAAACGCGGATATTTATATAAAATAACAAAACCCATACTCACACTAAATGAAATCACTAAGTTGTGTATATACGTGATAAACGTACCGTGAGAATTAATTTTCAATTGTCACATCATTTATCAGGCGGTAACACAATGAATAATATAAAAACATCTTACTAAATTAGGACGAGCAGTTTAACTCGTTGCTTATAATAAATAATTCTTCTATATTAATATTAAGTGATAAAAATATCATGTGATAACACGTCAAATTTAATTTTTTTTACTGCAGATTTTTTAAATATACAATATATATATAATGGTCAATGGTCCATCCATTGATCACATGTGACGTGTGCAAAAAAATAATTTTTTAAAATTGGATAAATTTTCCCTCATATATTTACTATGGAATCTAATTATTTAATATTAGATACTTTTTTGTTATAATCTTTTCTATGTGTATCTTTTGGTTTTACCCCACTTTTCAATGAAATTTAATGTAAAAAAATGCATAAATGACCTGATTCTAAATAGCATTTAACTCCACAAATGAAGAATTTTCTAGCAACTCGTAAAAATGGGGTTTTGATTGATTGATTGTCAATGATTCAAGTCTTGAATTTTAGCTGTTTTTTAGTTTTAAAATCAGGCTGCAAGGACAGAACTCTTCTCGCACAACAGTCAATACTGAATACCTATTTTCTAAAGATTCCTTTTGGTAGATCGATATGGATTATCAGATCCATAAACAATATCTCTCATTTTTACTGCTCGCCCACCACCTGGTTTTAAATCCATTTTACTCGCCACAAGTGCATTCGTTGAATTATCAAATGCGAAAAGAGTAATGCAATTTGAGAAAAGAGGTTCAAAAATCGGAATAGCTTTAAGTTCCCCTCATAAATTTTTAAATAAACTCTAGCTTCTTCCGGAACATGGGGTTATTTAGGATGTGTGTGATATTATTTATTTAAACATAATCCTCCGGTCTTTTTCACGCACAACACCTGTATTAATGACAACTCGCCACTTTTGGCCAATTTTTTCTCTTCCCATCATTTGTGTCACCAATTAACTTCTTTTTCACCAAGCTTAAGGTCAAGTTCATCATTAACACTCAACTTCATTTTAAAAACTTTTGTCAAAGAATCATTCAATTCAATCCTTTTCACATCAAGGAGTTCCTTTTTTTTATTTTCATTGGTGCAAATTTCGTGGTGACAAAAATATGTTGGCGGTCACTTGCTTTTTATAGAAAATTTATAGTCAAAAGTTTTAATATGATCGATCTTTATACACATTAATGATATTTCCTATATTATATTAATATGTTTATTTACGAAGAAAAATTATATACAATATAGAATTGTTCTCTAGGTGTTAAATTAAGCTACAATTAAAATATTATTTTCGACGAGTTATAAACTTTAAAGTCAGGTGATTATTGATACGTCCCGAGGATTTTATTTTCATATTAATATTAATAATTTTTTTACTTTACTTTTCGTACGTTTTGTAGCTTCATGCGATACTACTATTGATTTTTGTTATTTTTCGTCTTTTTCACCCTAAGAGGAGAATTATTTGTTCCGGAATATTTGGCAAATTAAAATGTAATTTAATAAAGTTTCACAAATTAAATGTTTTATGGAAGAAGACAAATTTATTAGTCAAATCAAATTAAATATCAATTATTATTGCCCATCCGAAAAATAATATGTTAGTGGTAATAGTATAGTTATTTACGGTTATTATTATAATAAATACTTAAATAGTGAAATATAAAATTAAAAAACCATTTTTGTATTAATCTTCGGTAAACAAAAAAACTGCTATTTATATTATTAATAAAGATATCAACTGTTGCTTAAATGGCTGGTAATTATATTGATTACAATAAAGTATGAAAAAAAAAAGAGTTCATAACAAATAACAGCAATTAAAGAAGCAAAAAGTTTTATCCAAAGTTTGGAAATCATCAATAGGAAGTGAACATTATTATTATAATAGTATTAGTACAGTAAATAATAGTAATGCCGAATTTGCCGTACCCTTTGTCATGTGATATATTTTTTAAAATACTGCATATTAGGTTTGCTGTTCGAAAACAATTTTGGAATTTTCGAACAGCAAGTCTACTGCGTATAATATAACCATATTAATGTATATTAATATCGTGAGCGCCTGGACAACATGGAAAACAGGTTTCTATAGTTCCTGAAGAATTACTAGCAATACGGTGCGGATATATTGATAATAAATTGGGAGGTATTTTTTATTCGGACCTTGCTGGATGGAACCTTACAATTTTCATGAACATATTAACATATGGAATCCATCCAGATACCCATCATTATTAAATTTTTTTGCTCCTTGGTAATATCCGGATTAGTAAATGTGCCTGAATCTTGTTTTATTTAAATAATAATAAATGATTCCGAACAATTTCTTCGAGATTATAATACATTTTAGAGTGTTATTAACGTTCTATTATTAAATTATTATTATTAACAAATTATTATTAATTATTATTATTATTATTATTATTATTATTATTATTATTATTATTATTATTATTATTATTAAGTTTATTAATCATTATTAAAAACCCAATTAAATTTTTTATAAAATCCTTTCTATACATAATTGTCTTTTTGATACCATTCGTAATGGTTATGATTATTATTGTTATAATTATAATAATTAGTATTAGAAGAAGAATAATCACTACCATTAATGATTCTTAGTGTATCCGTCACTATATAATAATGAAAAATTAAAAAAATAATCAAACATAAAAACAAAATTGTCTCTTGCGTAAAAAATCTTCGTATTATTACTGTCATGTTTGTTGAATTTGACGACAACGAAGATAGTGAATTTTTAATAAGATGCTTATTCGAACAAATTACTGAAAATGAAATTGGTTTGAAATTCAAGTTAAAGATTGGAATTGTGTGTCTTGATCTTATTATATCTTTTTTAACAGAGGGGAAAATTTTTATTTTCGATTAATTAATAAATAAATACTTTAGAGAAAAATTTTAACAAGTTCATTCCATTAATGATTTTTTTACCTTGCTCATTGTTACTATTGTAAAATTTTAATGATTTAGTCATGGCTTTTGTTGTATTTATTTCATCATTACTGTTAATATTTACATTATTTTTATTGTTACTATCAACATCATCAACATCAATACCATCATAATCACAATCATCCATTTTACTTATTGTTTTAATAGGATCGGATGAATGATATTTTAAAAAATCTTTTCTTGCCAATGCAGCTGAAATATCGTAAATGTCACGTGACAATTAAACATGCTTGTAAGTAATAATAATAATAATAATAAATAATAATAAATAATAATAATAATAATAATAAATTAATGAGTAATGAAATACCTTTTAATCTTTTTATTAAATTTTCATCAGCAGTAATTATATCTTGTTTCTGATTCCAACTTATCTATTTAAAGTTATTATGAAAAAAAATTTTTTTTAAATTAATATTCAAATATTTTCTTAGTTGAAAAAGAAAATTTATTTTACTTCTTTAATTCATTCCCGTCCCACATCGTACTTACAACAAAACATTCGTTGATAAGTTTTACTAATGAACCACCGTAGAGAACAGTTAATGAAGTAGCAAGAAAAACTGTACTTAGGTCTGGCATAATAAATATTGTAAATACCGAAATTATGGAACTATTATTATTAGTTGTTGTTACTATAGATTAATAATATATAAAAATAAACAAAATCATCCAAAAGATTAAAAGTAAATTTAAACATTTAAAAGTTTAAAAGAATTGAAAGAAGAATTTTAGCAGAAAATTTTCCAATATTTTTGAAGTGAAAAATTGGGGCATTGGGGTAAGTGACATAAATAATAATAGTGATCATCACACGTGGAAATTTTAAAACAGATGACTTGGTCATTTGTTCTTCTCATTTACCATATTAGTATATATATTAAATTTATTATCCTAGCAAATAAAAGGGCGAGATTAAATCCCTATTAATATTAATTGCCAAAATTCTGGCCTAAAATGAATAAATAAATTTTCTGTTATTATAACTTTTGACAATAATATATACAATATTTATTGTTAAATATCAAGAATCTTTATTATACATTACTTTCCCACCCCGACTCATACATTTAAGAAGAACTTTTGAATAGTAATAGTATGATTTTTTTTAACAATGTTATTATTTCCATACATTCCCACCTATTTTTATTTTTTTTTGCTCGTCGATGCAAAATTTTTTCATTAACGTCATGTGAACCTTCTTAGATGCCGGGGCCCCAGAAACTACATATAAGTTACTCTTTTTTGGGGATAAATCAATTTGAAATCTGATTAGTTGTTAGAAAGTGTCGAAGAAGTTAGTGTAGCAAACATTAATGAACACGGAGCATGCATGACATAAAAAAAAGACAATTTTTGAATAGAATGAGTGCAAGGATGTTTTTTTACCTTGAAGAGGAAATAGTATTTAAGTTAGTCAACGTTACAAACATTATTCCCTCAAATAAGGGTATTCATCCTATGACAACTTTTTGGGTAATAAGAGATGAGGAACAAAAATTGTGAAAAATACCTCCAAGTTCTTTTCGGTCTTCTTGATTTTCTGGTCTAATTATACACTCCCAAGTCTTATTAGTCCAGAAAAAACGACAATATTAGGTTGTAATAATAATATTAAAATTTCTAACCCCAAAAATCCTAATGTTCATTTTTGTCTGGTTTTGTTGCAGTATACCCCATATGCAAGTGAATCAATTTTTATTTTTATCCGAAACATGAAAAAAAATCAAAATTCATTCTTAAAATTATTTCCAAAAAAAAAAGATGTCTAGAAGAGAAAGAGCTGGACTTAGTTCTTCAAGGTCCTCTGCTTCTGGAGGACCGTCTGTAAAAACTAAATCTTCAAGAACTAGCCAGAGTTCTTCAAGACATTCTTCTAAAATAAGACATGAACGAGCGAGGTCAAAAGATTATTCATTATATAATATATTTTTGTTAAATAAATTTACCTTATTATTATGTTATAAAAATTGATTGTGTATGTACATATATAGATCACGCTTTTCAATTTATGATAGTTATTACACTGCAATAATTTATTTCGGTTTAGTGATAGCAAGAGTTAATGCTGCTTTATATTCCAACATATCTGATAGTAATGAAGTGAGAACTTTTTTTTAAAAAAAAAATCACAAATTATTACAAAAAAAAAAATAATAATAAATTAATTTCTGTTATCTCGTAGGTTTATAATTATTGGGAACCAACTCATTATCTGCAATATGGTTATGGAATGCAAACATGGGAATATTCACCAAAATATGCCATTAGAAGTTGGTCTTATATAAAATTTCACTTATCTATTGCAAAATTCTTTGGATATTTATTTAATAATGATAAGGTATGTAGAAAATGATCAGCTATTACGATTATGATTAGATATATGTATCTGATTTATTGTTTTAAATTTTTTTAAATAATAGATCAAAATTTTTTATGCAATGAGACTATTATTTGCCTCCATATGTTTAATTTCTGAATTTTTATTTTATCGTATTGCTAAAAATCATCTTGGTACTCGCGTTGGACGTAATATCTTACTGATCTCTTTGCTAAGTGTAGGAATGTGGAATGCATCGACAGGTAATAAAATAAAAATTTTTTAGAATAACATCAAAAGCAATAAAGATAATAATTCAACTAATCATGTATAATCTTTTTGAATTATATATGTAACAGCTTATCTTCCATCTACTTTTGCAATGTACACAACTATGATAGCATATTCTTATGCTCTTAAACCCATTTCATCATCTTCTGGCCGTAGAATTTACCATTCTATTTTTTGGACCGGTTTTGGATCACTCTTAGCTTGGCCTTTTAGTGCTGCTATCGGAATAATTCCAGCAATAGAGGAAATTTTGATTCGTACCAATTCATTTAAAGATAGATTAGATCGTTTAACCCGTATAATTGTTAGCGTCATTGTTACTTTGACTTGTTTAGCAGTAAGTTGATACAAAAAGAATCATCTATATCTACAGTATATATTTTTTGGAGTATTTATTTTTAAAAATATTTAAATTTTTCTCAAAAAAAAAAAATATATATATATATATATATATATTATAGATACCCATTATTTTATGTGATTGCTTGTATTATAAGAAGCTTACCATAGTTCCATGGAATACTATTTATTACAATACTTTTGATGATAAAGATCGTGGACCCAGCCTATATGGAACAGAGCCCTGGCATTATTATTTCGTTAATGGATTTTCGAATTTTAATTTAATTTTCTTGGTGGCTATTATAAGTTTGCCCGGGTTGGTGAGTTGTGTAAAAAAATTTTTTAGCAATATACATATACTAGTATTAAAAAGGATGTTTAAATTTTATTTAATTGATTATTATTATTATTTCTTTTTTAAAGATCATAACTATCCTTGTTGATCCTAATCGTGTTTGTTCAACATCCCCAACATCTAGTCCAATTCACGCTTATCTTTTCTTGTTTTTTAGACTTGCTCCTCTTTATTTGTGGCTTTTTTTGTTGTCACTAAGACCTCATAAAGAAGAACGGTTTTTATACGTGATCTATCCATTAATATGTCTTAATGGTTCTGTGTCGATTTTTTTGGTTAGAGGATGGATTGATCGTTTGATAATATACATGTCCAATGATGTAACAGTAAGTAGTGGTTAGTTTTATTTATCTATATTAAAGTATAATTATTACACATATATAATTTTATTATATATATTTAAAAAAAGCGTACTCGGAATAAAATTTTGAATATATTGACAACATGTTTTCTTGTTGCATACGGTGTCATGTCAATATCAAGAATTTATACCTTATACTCAAGTTATAGAGCACCTATGGAAATTTATAAGCATTTGTATTATAATGAAATTCCTAATAATGAGAATTACAATCATCATCATCAAGAAATCAATCTTTGCTTAGGAAAAGAATGGCATAGATTTCCAAGTCATTATTTCTTACCGGATAATGTTAGATTAAGATTTTTGAAATCAGATTTTGATGGACAATTACCAAAATATTTTTTGGAAAGTTATCATGTTGACGATAATGGTACTACCAGATACGATAAATCTCGTGATGGTACATGGAAGATTCAAGAAGGCTTTAATGATAGGAATCTTGAAGAAACAGATCGTTATGTTAGTTTATTATATTATTATTATGAAAACATTAATACTGATACTAATAAAACATGTGCATTATTTTTAGGTTCCTATACAAACATGTGATTATATAATTGATCGAATTGGTGAAAATGAATCAAATTATGCCGAGAAAACTGATGAATGGAATAAAGTGATATGCAGACCTTTTTTCGATTTTAAAAATCCAAATAAAATCGCTAGATCATCCTATATTCTTTCATTTTTATCGAAAAAACTAGAAGCAATTCTAAACCGTGTTGTCCCTGGTAGGGCAACTGGACAAGACGCAATTAATGATTTTGGTAATTTGAAATGGGATGAATATTGTTTATTAAAGAAGATACCTGGAGGTGGTTAGTAGTACAAACAATATTTTTTTATTTTTTTATTAGTTTATTTTTTTTTATTAACTTTTTTTAAAAATTCAAAAAAAAACTTTATTTATGATAGCTACATCGAATACCCTTAATAATCAAAATGAACACATAGTAGGATTTTTCAGAGGATGGTATAATTATTTTTTTACCTGAATGTAAATACATATTTTCTCTTTGCTATTTGTAAATAATTTTAGACTTTTTTTTATTACTTTTTTTTTTGATAATACATATGTAATTTTTATTTCTTAATAAAGAAAGTTTTTTTCTATAATAATATATTATTAATTCGTAAAATATAATAATATAATTTGATTGCAATAAATTTTTTTTTTTTTTAATAACAGTTATATGTAGAAGAATCTTTTAGCTTAAAAACGTACCCACGTTTACTTGATAAAATCACGAGGTATTAATATTTAAACCTCGCATGACATTAAATCAGACGACTCTCATCACACAGTCATTAATTATAATAACCCCCGAAAAGCATTTGCAAACATAATAAAATCAATTACACTATATATAATGTTCCTTTTTGTTGCAGTGTGCCCATATGACATTTTTTATTCATGAATTGATTATATAAATAGTTTCTTCTTTATAAATGATCATTAGCTAATTTTTTTTCATAGTTGAGAATTATATCCCAAATTTAGTAATTATTTTATGGATATAATGCCGAATTTTCTTTTTCCTAAAAACAGTTTAGGAAACCATATATATCACCCGCCATCATATAGATGAGGTTTTTTTAATTCTGAAAAATGTTTTGAGCTATCTGAACACGTATCTATAACGTAATAGAGCCATATTTGTTGATGTACTTTCATATCGCAAACGTAATTTTGTCATAAATTCTAGATGTTTACTAAATACAAATGTAAAAAAACAAAAAAACAGCTACGTTGTAGACAAGGTTCACAGGAATTAAAACACCTTTGATTTTTTTTATAGTTATCTTGCTTCCAAAGTTATGATCGTTTTAAAATTTCAATTGTTAAAGTAATTAAAGAAATCGTCTTTGCATAAAGTGTTATATAAATCATCATGCAGTTGAGATTTTTTGATTCTGGGCTTGTAGAACATGCATGGTCTCTAAAACATAACAGTGCCATATTTTAAGAATATTTATTAACGTTGATGTGCTTTTGTAGTTTTGTTATAAATTCTAGATGTCTACTAATACAGAGTGTCATATACAAATTGATCTACATGGTCCCATCGTACACCCCAATGCGAAGTGTATAAAGGGAAATTTAAAAATAACGACAGTTACGATCATTATCATCATTTTTAATATTATAATTAATTTTACATTGAATCGAAATAAATGATGAATCATCAAAAAAGGTTAGCATATAATTTATTTCTTCAACTTCATTTTTTGATGTTTCTTTTGTCACAGATGTGTCGATTTTATTAATATTCATTATCGTTAGTTGAACAAAAATGATGTTGATAGTTTAGATGAAGACGCTTATGTAATTTAGCTCAAGAAGTATGTTTTATACCGCACAATTTCGTAATTATAGTATACCACCATTTCTACTTAATCGTATTGCCATCACAGAACAAAAGAAATTAATAATACGATGTGGAATTTGGTGTTTTCTTAGTTGGAGCCATCAAGAAAGGCAAAAGCAAAAACTGCTCGACGAATGAATTTTTTTTGGAAATATCTGGGCATCTCGGAAAACACAATTTTTTAATGTAGTCAAATTAGCCAGAAAATATCGATTCCTGCCTCTTCAGTACCTAGCGAAGGATTATTTTCTGATGCAGGTAATTTGATTACTTCTGAAAGAACTCGATCAGATCCAAAATTGGTAGAAAAAATGATGTTCATAAAAAGAAATTATAATTCAATTATGTCAAAACTACCGTGTGGTTGGTATTGTGATCTGCTATGCAGTGTTGGAAATTCAGGGTGCGCAGGGTGCGCGCGCAGCATGTTACACCAAAATTGTGAAACATTTTATGTGCAAA